AAGCCCGTCTCGACAATCTTCGAATTTCATTTCTCTCTCTCATTCTCTTGTCCTGACAAACACCTCAACCCCGTCCCTCATGACAGCCAAAGCCAGCGAAAAAGATACACCAAAACCAAAGATCCTTAAGTGATCATACGCATACCTACTCACCCTCATCGCGACGTCTCCAAGTACGGTCAACTCGTCAACGAGCCAGTGTAGTGCTTCCGGAGACTGGGACACTACCTCCGGCTATCCGAGGGCACCACCTTAACGCAGTTCAAGACCATCGTCACAAACTCAAGTACCAGCAGACAAGATGCCGGACCTCGCGCTCGCATGCCAGCGCCAGCGAGATCTTGATTCAGTAACCGCACCAAGCAAGTCGTCGTCCACCGACTCAGAGCGTGTCACGGGTGACCTCAACCACGTCCCAGCCATGCCGCCAGCACCTAAATTCTCCGCTACACGCACGGTCGACTCTGGCTATGCGTCTCCTCGCTTTTGTGGGAAGCATTTCCGCCTCTGACCCGATCCCTTCCCACGGTGACCGTCATACGCGGCCGCCAGCCCAAGAGGCGTCAGAGCCTCAGCTCCAGCAGCAGCAGCCGCGAGGAAAGCAAGACCAAATCCCCCGATTCCGGACCTGATGAGGACCACGGCCACAGCTCGTCAGCCACGAAGGTCGAGATCACACCAAAGCCCCAACGGTCATTGGATGAGTACACCGTCCCATCCGACCGCGAGTCCATCGAAAGAAACTGGGCCCTTCTTGACACCATGATCGACGACTTCGTGCAATCTTTCTTCCGCCTAAATAGGACGCATGTCCGTCGGTCCGCGGCCGCGGCGCTCAACCTAACGGAGATCCCCCGCCGCGTACTTGAGGGGGACGAGACATGGCGGTTGCTCTTCGTTGCCCAGATATGGACGCTCCTTCACGACAACATGTTCCACCGCGGATCCACCTTCTGGGCCGGCGAGGAGGGAGCCAGACTCATGACGCGGTACAAAGAGAACGAAGGTAGGTCGGCCAAATCCGTAAAACGCCCCAACTCTGGGAAGACAGGTGCACTAACACTTCACGCCAGTGCCACAGATGACACCCCCAGCCATGGATAAATACCTCCTCCACCGCTGTAAAGAAGCCAACGGCCTCCTCGCATTAGAGTCGACGCGCAGGCCGGACAAGACCCACGACCTGGCTATGACGATATTCATCTCCCTCGCGAAGCTGTACGACTTCGACAACTTACGGAAAGACACGGGCGAGGACATGGCGCAACTAATTCGCTGCTTGCGGGCGGTGGTCCGCCAAGCGGAGAAGGTGGACGTCGCCCTCCGCCGCTCACGGTAGGAGTACCGGGTGGTTGGCCCGCTCCCTCTCGGCTTGCATTCCGGAGACTTACCATACCGGGAGGAAACGATGTCCGTTGCGTACCGCCTGGACGGTTGGGACGACACGGTCGTGCTGATGATTAGTCCGGTTTTGCTCTGGTGTGGACCGCTTGACCGGGCCAACGAGCCGGACCAGCACAACTTGGGACGGGGGTGGAGTGTGGCGGTCAAGAGTCGTGTCGTCGTCGGGAAGGGGAAGGGGACGGCCACCTGAAGCATATTCTGAAGAAGGCTGGATCGGATATCAACATCGAGTTAGAGGAACCGCCGCGCAGATGGGCCACGGACCGGTCTTGCGTGCCCGTCCTCGAGGAGGATGAGAATGAACCGTCTGGGTTCCGCGAGGTTGGGGTATATGTCTGGTCGGTGAACAAGGCTGGCGGCCTCGAATGGGAGTTCGAAGATACGCAGGAGTGCGACGAGTGGGAGCGCGAGGTCGTGTGGACGTGGATGATGGACGTGCCTGCGGAGGCGGACCAAGGGGAGATGGATGACCAGCCGCGCGACCCGGACACATACTCTATGTTTGTGGGTGATGATAACTTGCCGGTTGGGTGCGATTGCTTAACCTTCGTGCCTCAACATCACCCTTTTCTGCAGCCCTATCGAGGGCGCGGAGCTCGAAGTCTGTGACAGTGTCGTTGTTGAGGGTCTCGAGATGAGGACATTAGTGGAGTTAAAAAGGCAGACTGTTCTGGATACCTCATGTTGAGCAATCATGTTGACAGTAACTGCAACGGAGCTTTTGATTCACCGTGGTATGACTTTAGTACTGTTCACAAGCTTCCCTTATGGTAGAAATGTCGATGGGTTGTTGTTGTGTTCACTCCCTCATGCAGATGATCTTGCTTGGCATCCGAGTGAGGGTTAGGGTTCACTGCTGGGCAACACAGCCGGTTATTGCCGCTAGGCCGCAGGCACCCGCTTTTCGGAGCATTATCCGAAACGTCATCCCGTGTCAACACCAGCGCTAAGTATCGACACCGACATCACAGTCAGTTACCAGTCCGCCGCGATATGATGCAGCAACCTCCAACCGCACCATGACACGATCTCCCTCTTCCTCGGGGTTGCTACCACTGCCTGGCGCGCCGTCCTCCTCTTGGGCCGTCTACAAAGCGCGCATTCTCTCCATCCTCCGCAATGGCGACACGGCCGTCCTCGTCGCCTTCTGGCTCTTCGGTACGCCCGCCTCCCTCCCCCTTCTCCTTCTAAAGGTCGCTCCCTCTAACCACCGTGTACACAGGCCTCATCAACAACGTCCTCTACGTGATAATCCTCTCCGCAGCCCAAGATCTGGTCGGCACCTTACCGAAAGGCGTCGTCCTCCTCGCCGACGTGGCGCCGTCCTTCCTCACCAAGCTCGTGGCGCCGTACTTCATCCACCGCGTCCCCTACGCGACACGAATCATAATATTCGTCTGTCTATCCTCCGCGGGCATGTTGCTGATAGCACTCACGCCCTCCAGCCAGAGCGTGGCCGTCAAGCTCATGGGCGTCGTGCTGGCCTCGCTGAGCTCTGGCGGCGGAGAGCTCAGCTTTCTGGGACTGACGCATTACTACGGCCACATGTCTCTCGCCGCCTGGGGTAGCGGGACGGGCGGTGCCGGGCTGGCGGGGGCGGGATTATATGTCATGATGACGGACTGGATTGGGTTCAGTGTCAAGAGCAGTTTGTTGGCGAGCGCGTTCCTGCCGGGCATTATGCTCCTCAGCTTCTTTGTTATCCTGCCCCATGGACCACTTCTGTCTCGAGGGGTGAAGGAATACGCACCCCTCCCCGTAGAAGAAGATCTACCGGATGACAACGACGAGCTACCGCCCTCCAATGTATCGTCCTCTCTCCTCATCCCTGCGGCGGAGGCATATCCAGTCCATCCCTCCGGACACAACTCTGCGTCATTCTCGACCAACCTCCGCCGCGCGAAGAAGCTGTTCTTCCCGTACATGCTACCGCTGCTCCTGGTGTATGTGGCGGAGTACACCATCAACCAAGGCGTCAGCCCCGTCCTCCTCTTCCCACTCGCCTCCAGCCCCTTTTCGGAGTTCAGGTCCTTCTACCCGTTCTACAACTTCCTCTACCAACTAGGCGTGTTCATCTCCCGCTCGTCAACACCGTTCTTCCGCATCCACCATCTATACATACCCTCCTTCCTACAGGTCGGCAATCTGGTGCTGCTGACCCTCCACGCTATACTTGACTTTATACCGAGCGTTTACATCGTTTTTGTGATAGTATTCTGGGAAGGACTGTTAGGAGGGGCGGTGTACGTCAACACCTTCGCCGAGATCATGGAGAACATCCCCGAGGAAGACAGGGAGTTTTCGCTGGGGGCGACGACTGTTAGTGATAGCGGCGGGATATGTATCGCCGGACTCCTGAGCATGGTGGTTGAGCTGAGGCTCTGCGAGTGGCAGGTGCAGCATGGGAGGGACTGGTGTAGGCAGATTGAACCTAGTTCGAGGGGTTGAGCTACTTGGACGTCGAAGGTTATGCGTCGCTATCAACACTTATCCCAACTCCCCTCGAACCCGACCTTCAACCACCTATCCGCCGACTCTCCGCCCACAATCCCATAATGCGGCGTCATATCGTCGAACTCGACCATCTCGTGCGCCAGAGACACGAACAACAAGACGTCTATCCCCGTCCGCGCGTCGGATGTCGATGTCCGGCACGCGGTACTCCCCAATTCACTACCACCTGCTCCAGCCACAACGGGTATACTCATGTTGAAGTGCCCGTCATACCCAGTGGCGCCCTTCCCGTACAGATCCCGTGCGGTCGCTACATCTGTCTTCAGCGCCCGTCAGCCCCCTCATTCTTAGGGCCCCAATCTGGATCCTAAACTCACCTGTTTCGCACCCGGAAAATATCCTACAGAGACGTTAAACCGCTCGATATACGTCCCCGGCTCGAGTTTGAGGTACCCGGCCAAGGAAATCCAGGTGACGGAATAGCGATACCCGGTTTGGGATGCTTGCAGCGTCAGACGGGTCGGGCAGTCGATTGTCCCGCTTGATTGGTGGGTTATCCTCGCGTTGGGGAAGGCGAGGTAGGGTGAGGAGTTGGTGGTTGTTATAGTGGAAGCGCATTTGGAGGTGTCGGTGCTGGAGGAGAGGGGCTCGATGAGGGAGAGGATGTTGGCGGTTGGCGCTGGGCCGTCAGGAGTCGCTGGGATGGCCCTAACAACAGCGTATGGCCCCAAGAAGAGAGCGACTGCTCGCAGGAGTCTCATTGTGGGAAAACTATCGAAATGCCGTGTAAGGTGATGGGCCTATAGGCCATCGTCATCCAAGTTGGGGAAGCCTCCTAAAGATATCATTTCTGCGACAGGCAGTTTTCACGACGAGCATGGGCATAGGAATACGCATCCTGTCATATAAGTCGACCAATTGCATCCACGATCAAAATTGCCAACATGCTCCAGCTTGCATTTCCTGGTTCAAGGGATGCGCACACTATATAGCCTGAAGTGCCCTTCCTCAGCCATTTCCCACCCCCGACCCTGCCTTCGGCAAAACGTCGACTCCTTCTCAACGACATGCACAATGCACGATCAAACTCCGACAAAACACCAGGAAAGCGGCCATGGTGACATCTGCTCGCGAGTACAGCATGATAGAAGTGGGGTTCGAGCCCACGGCTCTTTCGAGAAACGAGATTATGAAATACGTACCTATGTCAGCCACCTTGCACCACTCGGCCATCCCACCATGTGGCATGTTGAGAATATGCCGGGCCGTCAACCACATCCCCACGACAACTGATTCGACCCCCTCGATTCCTTCCTTCAAAACAAACAATAACATCGAACAGCAATTGACGTCGGCATCAAAGCCGCAGTTCCGCCCCCGGTCTAGCTGCCTCACACGGGCACGACAACTAATAGCGATACACTCTAGACGAGCTGCTCGAAGATGAGGAGCTGGCCCTTCTTCTCCGCCTTCTCGGGGCCTCGCTCGAGCTGTGCCGTTTCGCCCCCCGACTTCCCCTCGATCTCGCCTCAAGGTCTCCCCAGGGGAAAGCCTTGTTGGACTTCTTCGGTCCCACAGGGCTCTCGTCTCTGCTCTTCTTCCCCGGTCTCTTCACTCTCTCCGTCCCGTACGGGGGCGCCGGCGTGTTTATAGGCGCCGGAAGGCCCGCGTACGCTATGACTTCCGGTCCCCTCTTCTTCTTCTTCTTCTTCGTGCCGTCGGCGTCGTCCTTCGGGATGCGTACAACACCCCGTGGTCGCTGTGGGACGTTCTCCGGGACGACCGTGGGCTCCGAGTCCGTGAACCCCTCCGGCTGTCCCGAAAATCTCACGTTCAGCTCCGCCCAGTGTTCCGCCTTCCAGTACTGCCGTATGTACAGCTGCCGCGGATGGCCCCTGACGGGGACGCAGACGGCGTCGCTCCAGGCCGCGGCGTCCGCCTCCTCCTTGAAGTGGAGGATAATGGCGTGTAGCCAGCGGCTCGTGGAGAGCCGGACGACGGAGCTGGGCAGGTGGAAAGAGACGAGGTTCGACCTGTCGGCTACTTCGGGACACAGGCGCTTCTTGCTTCGGTCGATGCTGTGTCTGTACCGCTTCGCCACCTCGCGGTGGTCCCAGGGAAATTCGATGTCGACGGTGGGCGGATGCTGGGTGATGTGGATGTACACGTACAAGCGGGCTGCATCGTATTCGGGGCTGGTTGTCATTGCGACTTGAATGTGGGCTTTGTTCGCTCAGCTGCTGAACGGGATGATGCGCAAGGCTGCCAGAGTTTGGGAGTGGGTAGTTGTTCGGTCACCGCACTTCTTATAACATGTCAGGCTCCAAAAGGAGGGAATTATGCCATGCTCAGCCGGTGCCGCGCGACGCGGACGGTGTGCGTGACAGCTGAGCTGAACCTGCCTGGTGTCACGGCGGCTTAACCAATCAAGCAAAATTCGAGCGGCATATGTGTGTTATTGACAATTTGACAGCTCAGCCCAAATCTCTCGAAGCCAATAATTGGTATTTTCAGGACATTTGCATATGCAGACATGCAACAACCCTGTACCTGTCACTGCGGCTGGTTCCGGAGGCTTTCCGCGTTGTAGGGGGGGCTTTTCCATAAAAGCCTTTGCTTGAATAAGAGGCGTTGAGCTCGATGAGGAGACAGCGCGAGTCATCTTGTGCTGTTTTGACACCGATTAGCGGAAAGAAAGGGCCACAGCTTCAATGTCTGGTGAGCGGACGCACGGTAAGGATGTTATCTTCGTAAGGTTCCCTTCATCTAGCAAGCAATCGCTGACCCGATATCAGCTGTGGTTACGAACATGGATCCGAATGCAGAAGATGTGCGTCCCTCCGCCACAATGCTTCGCCGGCATGGGCATCATGTCAACTTCGACATGTCCGGACTGCGATCTATGATGACTGGCAGCAAGCGACGTCCCAATAGCCCGGATCCGAGCGAAACGTCCGGTAATCATGACCCTCCTACTACTACCGAAGAAGACTACAGGGACGAGGTGGGCGATGGTGCCTCCGGCGTCGGTCCGGATGACCTTAGCGACCTTTCAGACGTCCCTTCTCACCAATCTAAGGACAAGGCCTCCAGGGTCCATACGTATCACTCCATCGAAGACGAACAAACGCGCCCCGTCCAGACGGATCCCTCCAAGGACGAGACCTCCAGCTTTCGAACAAACCAGTCCAGTGAGGATGCTTTCAGTGACACTTCAGGGTACCACCCACCTCCTGTTACTCAGTCTGCAGGCCGGCACCACTCGGGCCAAGCTTTCGGGAGCGGCACATCTGGCCATCATCTCCCTTCTCCTAAGATCCAACACAGCGAGAAAGTACCCAGCGAGGAGAGCCTCAGTAACACATCAGGCTATCACATCGCCCCTCAACCCCAAGTCTCAGCTGCTCGCCGATTCATCAGGGGGACCGTAGCCGCGACCCCGCAAGTCTACTATGTTCCGTCCCGGGACGACTTCCAAGAACCTGGCATCGAGTTCCCAGGTGAATTTGCATTGCAGCTTCACAGCAGCGGGCTTGTTAGTGAGCTGAGAGATTACAATCCGGGCCTTGTGCGGTCGACGTGGGACGCTTTGCGAGACAAGCTTCGTCGAAGGAAGGATGACGAAGAGACTGTGACCGAAGCATCTTCCGCACCTTCTTTGATCGGTGGGAGGCGCTTTTGCATCAGCTTCGCCGAGGTGCATCGGATGCGTATCCGAAAGCTGCAGTGTGAGCTGGTGAGGCATGTCGTCAAGATGCGACGCGAGGGGAAAGAGTCGGAGAACTGGGAGGAGACTATGAAGGAGTACAGTAGGTGCAAACCATTCCCCCGCCTCTGTACCGCTCTCCTTCGACTCAGGTGTGGGACTGTATGTACCGACTGGAGGCTAACGCGGCATGTCATTCAGTCAAAGCAATTCAAGACCAGACTACATGGAGAACCGCAGCAAGTCGAGCCGGGACCCTTTCCTCGCGACAGGAGAGTACGCCTTGGACAACTACGTCCTCAAAACCTTTATCGACGACAACGTAGCCAATGACCAGGATACGAAAATGGTCGACTCTCTCCTCCCCTGGGAGGACTTGGCGAACCACGGGCGGCAGCACTTCGAGTCGATATGCGGGCCCCGCCAGGACAACATAGCCAAGGCCTGGCTCGCCGGCTTCAAGGAACGCGTTTTGTTTGCGGCCCTCGGAGCCGCGTTCCTCATCGGTCCCATGTGGCTGATGGTCTTGCAGAGCTGGCTGTACACGACGCTCATCGCGACCACGGCGTTTGTTGCCGCCTTTGGCCTCATCATGGCTTACTATCTCGACGAGGGCAAAGACGTCCTGGCGAGCACTGCGGCGTACGCGGCCGTACTCGTCGTCTTCGTTGGAACTAGCACCTCCAACACTACAGAATCAGCTTCTTAGATCAGGCGGCCATGTTATCGCCTGCGGTTAGGTATTTGTCGATCAGCGCGGGCGGCTTTGCACCAAGGGACCGGGTAGATACCCGTTCAGGTAGCATTCGCACAGACAAACTCCGCCTCCGCACTGAACGGCTAATCTCGTCTGGGCGACGCGGAAGCAAGATCGCATATGAAGCAGGGGGATAAACCGGGGATTTGACACCGAGACCATGCCGATCAGGCTAGCCCTATTTATTCCACATCCCGTTTCGTGTTGCGTAATACCGATATATGCTATCGATGTCACGATAGTCTTCCCGGTCTCTTGGGTGGCCCGTTAGACCACACAATTTCCGCGACGGCCTCACCACACACTTGCTTTCCATTAGATAAACTCCTGGCCTAGATTTTGAGACCGGTTCCTTGGTTGGCAGCAAACAATACACGCCGGTTGTCGGTGCTCTTCTTGAAGATGATCGGCAAGATAGGGGCTCTGTTTCCCCTGGCCGCGCTCTCCGCCTCCGCCCAACCCGTAATCACTTCCGAAGGCGGTGTTGCATGCCCGCGAGAAATAGCCTTTAGGTCCATCTCGGCAAAAGAATGGGCCAAGGCCGCAAGTCCAGGATGGAACTTGGGGAATACTCTGGACGCCGTGCCTGACGAAGGTTCTTGGAACAATCCGCCAGTTCAAGCCCAGGTGTTCGACGATGTGAAAGCTGCTGGCTACAAGGCAGTTCGCATTCCGGTCACTTATGCGGATCATCATTTCGGCGGCTCGCCGGACTGGACGATCAACAGCACGTGGTTGAAGAGGGTGTCGGAAGTGGTCGACATGGCGACGTCGAGGGGTCTTTATGTCCTGACCAACATGCACCATGGTATGTCGTACGAACCGGTCAGTGTGCACCGATACTAATAACTCTAGACTCTTGGAGGTGGGTAGACGTCAGCCAGCCGAACGCCAACATAACTATGATTCAAGAGAAGTTCTACCAGTCGTGGCTCCAAATCGGCAAGACCCTCGGTTGCATGTCGGACATGGTGGCGTTCGAACCGATCAACGAGCCGCCAGGCTCCTCCACAGCCGATGCACAGAATCTGATGAAGCTGAACGACATCTTCCTCAAGGCTTTGGCTGACTCGGGCGGCTTCAATGCGAGGAGAGTCGTCACACTTTCTTCGCTGGGCATGGGTCTGGACAAGACGCCCCTCTTCACTCGGCCAGCGAATATTACGAACCCGTGGGCTTTCCAGTTCCATTACTACTCACCATGTAAGTCAGTGTTTCTGCATTCATTGAGAAAGGGTTGCTGATGCGCGGTAGATGACTTCGACTTCGGAGCATGGGGCAAGACAATCTGGGGTTCGGACGCGGACAAAACCGCCGTTCTAGCCGACTTTACCCAGGTCAGGGGCAACTTCACGGACGTACCAATCATTTTGGGGGAGTTCGACGCATCGCAGCTTAACTGCGAGGCAGCAGCTCGGTGGAAGTGGTTCGACTATGTCGTCCGAACAGCGTCGTCTCTGGACATCACTGGGTTTCTGTGGGACAACGGTCTGGATAACTTCCAACGCGAAACCGGTATTTGGAGAGATGCCACTGCGGTGGACAACACGATGCATGCCGTCAAGGGCGTGAATAACTCCTTGGCCGACAGCACGACCGACGCCAGCGCTACCAGCCAGAACAGCTCGGCCTACATATTCCTCAAAGTGGGAGAGAATGTCACGGACCAGCAGCTTCCCTTCATCCTTAATGGAAACATCGTCCGATCGCTATCAATTGGTGGAGTCCCGCTTGAGAAGGGCGCAGATTATGACATATCGGGCCCAACCGTCACAG